AAAGTTTTCTACTACTCTGATGATTTCATTCTTATTATATGTTACCTCTCCGTCTGGTTTCTTTATTGCATATATTTGATTTCTCCCTATTCCTAGTCTCCTTTTAGCTGTTTTCATGCTGGTACCTGAAATCACTGCTTCATTTATTATTTGAGTATTGAATTTCCGTACGTCTTCTCTCTTCTTTTTATTTATAGTTTTTGTTAGTTCAGCTAATTCTATTTTGTCCCTATTTGACGATGCTTTCATGACCCTACGTTTTTGCATAAGTTCTTTAGTTTCCATCGAGAGCTTACTGGAGCTTTGTTTGACGTTCTTACCGGCTACTTCAAGTGCAGCTTCCTTTATTATGTCATTGAACTGTTTGTTGATCTGATCAATGTTGAGATCCTCATCACTGAGAAGTGAATATCTGTTTTGGATGTTAATGCTAAATTCTATCGCTTTGGTCTTCAATTTAGCCAAGTTTGTCTGCGGTTTTCGTATGAGTTTATTCCTTTCCCTTCTGAGGTGTAATTTAATCTGGCCTCTGACCAACCTATGGTCGCTGCCAACATTTACCTTATTAATAACTTCCACATTTTTTACTATATCGCGCCTATTCGAAATTATGAAGTCAATTTCGTTTTTGATGTCCGATGGCGACTTCCATGTCCACTTCCGCTCTAGTCTTTTTTCGAAGAATGTATTCATGATATTGAGAGATCGAGCCTCCGCAAAGTCGACTAGCATTTGTCCCCTCTCATTCCTAGTGCCTATTCCGTGATTCCCCACTACGGTTTCTCCTTCTGTCTTTTTACCTATTTTGGCATTGAAGTCACCCATAATTATTGTGAAATGGGTTTTTACTCTTTCGCTGGCTAAATGAACATCTTCATAGAAGCTTTCTATTTCGTCATCACTGTGGCTGCAGGTTGGAGCATGGACTTGAACAATCTTTAAGTTGTACCTATTATTAAGTTTTATTGTTACTGAAGCCACTCTTTCGCTTATACTATGGAATTCTACGATATTCTTTTCTAAACGTCTGTGAACTAAGAAACCTACCCCTAATTCTTGCTTGCTACCCTGAGGTTTACCTCTCCAATAGAGCACGTGTCCATCATTTAGTATCTTCTGTTCTTCGCCTAGTCTTCTAACCTCACTGAGTCCTACAACATCCCATTTAATGAAAGAGAGTTCCTCAAGTAATGCTAGTAAGTCGGATTCCGTTCTCATTGTCCTTATATTATATGTGCAAAGGTTCATCAACGTAGGGCGGCCTGTTCTTGGCCGGAGATTCTTAGCACCCTCTGCTCCGGAGCGATCCTGATCGCCGCCGTAACCAGGGGCTCCTTCGCTTCCGGGGAATGAGGGCCGTAGCTCTGTTTGTGCAGTCATGGGTTTCGATTGTGAGGTAGACAGCCGAGTTACCTCCCGCCTACTGGCCTAAGTGTATCTTGGTGGGAGAGGGAGTATTTTAGCCGGGATGCCACTGATAAGCCCCTCCAGCAAGACTGGGCCTGTCTAGTGTGGACTTATAACCAGTAACACACGGCCTGCTCATTACACCAGGGTATACTCCCGTGAGCATGGGCTTGAGTATCGGAAGTACGTATAAGTGTGGTTGTATTTTATACACTGATTTTATTTGTGCGTATGTGTGCTCAGTGCAGACATAGTTGCTCATCCGCAAATGCCCTAAGTACTACGCATATGGTCATTTCGTGCACTATCACATGAAAGCGTACGCCTTTGCAATGCTCTTATGCATATGATATGCAAGGGAGCATATCATTTTGCACCACTACACCTATGCGCATGCATTCACATATATAAACATACGCGCACGTCATATACGCATACATATGTAAGTACTCATCCACGCTCTTGCACTCGTATTCGTGGGCACATACCTTGAATACATACCTATGACTATGAATACCCATACAATTATGTATGCATACATGCACACACACATACATACGTACATATACACATACACACATATATGTATATCTATACATTCATATACATATACAAATATATGCACACATATACATACATTACACATATATACATATACACACATGCATATATCCACATGCATACACATCCATATATCCACCAACATACACACATATGTGCTTACACACATGACTGCCCATACATATGTACGTACATACATATACCCACATACCTACATAAACACTTCTACTTATGCACATATATATGCATCTCCACAGAAACATATATGTACATACACATGTACATACTCGCATATACATATGCAATAATATAAATACACCCATATGAATGCATACGCACACACGCACATATACACATATCCACGTATATATTGATTCTCTTTCCTGCACAGACACATGGATTACACACAATTTTTTATGCATCAGCGCACTACTATGTATACACACTCATACTCGTGCACAAACGTTTGAACAGTGTCTGCATATATATATATATATATATATATATATATATATATATATATATATATATATATATATATATATATATATATATATATATATATATATATATATATATATGTATATGAGTGTGTGTTTGTGTATAGATATATATGTGCGTGCGTGTGTGTGTGTGTGTGTGAGGGCATGAAAGCTGGTGGTTTCTTGCTGGTAAATCATAGGTATGTGGTAGGAAAGAGAGAGAGAGAGAGAGAGAGAGATAGAGAGAGAGAGAGAGAGAGAGAGAGAGAGAGAGAGAGAGAGAGAGAGAGAGAGAGAGAGAGAGAGAGAGAGAAAGAGAGAGAGAGAGAGAGAGAGAGAGAGAGAGAGAGAGAGAGAGAGAGAGAGAGAAAGAGAGAGAGAGAGAGAGAGAGAGAGAGAGAGAGAGAGAGAGAGAGAGAGAGAGAGAGAGAGAGAGAGAGAGAAAGAGAGAGAGAGAGAGAGAGAGAGAGAGAGAGAGAGAGAGAGAGAGAGAGAGAAAGAGAGAGAGAGAGAGAGAGAGAGAGAGAGAGAGAGAGAGAGAGAGAGAGAGAGAGAGAGAGAGAGAAAGAGAGAGAGAGAGAGAGAGAGAGAGAGAGAGAGAGAGAGAGAGAGAGAGAGCAAGAGAGAGAGAGAGAGAGAGAGAGAGAGAGAGAGAGAGAGAGAGAGAGAAAGAGAGAGAGAGAAAGAGAGAGAGAGAGAGAGAAAGAGAGAGAGAGAGAAAGAGAGAGAGAGAGAGAGAGAGAGAGAGAGAGAGAGAGAGAGAGAGAGAGAGAGAGAGAGAGAGAGAGAGAGAGAGAAAGAGAGAGAGAGAGAGAGAAAGAGAGAGAGAGAGAGAGAAAGAGAGAGAGAGAGAAAGAGAGAGAGAGAGAGAGAGAGAGAGAGAGAGAGAGAGAGAGAGAGAGAGAGAGAGAGAGAGAGAGAGAAAGAGAGAGAGAGAGAGAGAAAGAGAGAGAGAGAGAGAGAAAGAGAGAGAGAGAGAAAGAGAGAGAGAGAGAGAGAGAGAGAGAGAGAGAGAGAGAGAGAGAGAGAGAGAGAGAGAGAGAGAGAGAGAGAGAGAGAGAGAGAGAGAGAGGGAAGAGAAAATCAAAGAAAATCATTTACTTCAAACATCTACCAAAGAACATTTAATTCAGACCTGAAAATTACAACCAGGAGAAATTCCAAATTATACTTGGTTACTTACTGTGTTCTTGGCATAAGTTTAACCCATTCGCGCCGGGTGTCACGTATATGTGACATGCCCACTGTGAGTTTACTTGTTTAATTGTTTTTACACATAGATGGCTACACTTGTACTTGTACTGCCTGTCTTGCCTGTTTACCCTTTTCTTTAATTTATGAAAATATTTTATGTTATCTTATTTTGCTGTTACTAATGTTTATAACATTATAGTAATTATAATGTTTATAATAGAAATAACCATCGATATTCATTGCGCTAGTAAAAATACATTTTCCCGCCAATTCAAGTAAACGTGAAATCAGGTAAGGCAGAGCCATCTAAGTGTAGAGACATTTCACAAAAAAAATATAAAAAATGAGCACAGCATTTACCCCATTTTATGTTCATTTTTACCCGTTGCGAATGGGTTAAGCAAGAGCCCCATGAGTGGCTTATGCTAGGATGATCCTGAGAGGCCTCCATCTTATTTCAACTACTAAGAACTAAACTTGGTGAAGGATAGTATTTTTGATTCAACCAATAGTTCAATTTCTCTTTAAACATTTACATGTATTAATGATGTGTAATGCTTTGCTTTCTTTATCTTTTCAAAATACTCTTATTTTCTCCCTATGTATATAGTCTCTACTGCCCACAGGGTAATTTAAGTGACCAAGTGGTTATCTTAAATCATGATCAGCTTTTTTCTGAATCTAAACCAGGCCATGGTTTAGTTATTCAAGTAGATACAAGTAGTAGAGACAAAAAAGGGAAATCAATGCTATTCTGATGAGAAAACGCTGTGTGCATTTACCTCATGATATCCTTGCAAGAATCAATGGAACTCCAGTCAAAATAGTCCAGATATGCAACAGATGGTGCAATTAAGAATGTTATGATGCTACTGCCCTCTAAAGTTTTTCATTATCATTTGATGTCAGTTGCTGCTTTTTATTTATAAGTCTTCACAAAGTAAAATTAAATAATGCCATCTCATGTTCTGTCTGAACTTGGATGTGTTGTCATGAATATGCTATACTATATTAACGTATTTGTCACTCACTTCCCAATATCTGATATATTGCTGACTTCAGAAATTATCTTAGCATCAGTCTATTAACTAGCAACAATTCTTGGGAAAAAGCTACTTCCTTTTACTTGTTTTTGCATTAAAATTCATTAACTTATTATTATCATCACTGTTATTTTGTATATATACTGTTTTCCTTTTAAACCATATATTTTCAAGATTCACCTCTCACAGATCAATACCATTTCTGATATTCTTTAATAACCCTCGTTAAAGAACTTGGATATCATATTAAGCAACTTTCAAAACTTCATCAACAAATATTGGTTCAGCAGGTTGGTACAACTGATACTCTTAGTTATACTCTTCTTTTTATTCATACATGAATGAAAATTATAAAAGTGCAAAAGCATTAGACTGACACACATTGGTCACTTATCACTGAATATTCTTATCCTATCAATACATTTCTAAATAGTAATGTATAATAATTTATATCTAAATCATTCTGGCACCATTAACTAAACCTAATAGACTCGGGCATCTATCAATAATAAAAATAACATTGGTATTCTTATGTGAAAATTTACACACAGTGTGGAAACTAAGGGTAAACGTCATGGTACCTACACAGTAATTACCCCAAATCAGAAAAAAATGATTCATATTATCAATACTGAAGATAAGGACATCAATTTTGCTGAAAAAATATATATTCAAATTTACAAGGCTATTCATAACTAAAAAGGAAATATTCGGAGTGAACAATAATGAACCGATATTGGTTACGTAGACCAATTTTGACTAGCTTAAAAAAAAAAAAAAGGAATAACTACTTTCAACTTTAGAAAGAGAAAAACTCTTTGATGTTCTGAAGTCAACACCAAATTTACAACCATTTTTACTCTATATACACAGAAAAGTTTGGCTTCAAAACTTCACTGGACCAAAATTATTGCACGGAAGAGATGAAATGATGCAAGTCTAACAAGTCAATTCGCTTGTTTAACACAATATACTTCCACAACACTTAACATTCATAAGTGAACAACAACAACAAAAAAATCACAGCCATATCAAAAGTAAACTAGACATACGACATCTTGAAATAAAATTAATAAATACATATTTACACTGGAAATGAAACTGTACTTTTTGACCAGGCATCTACATAACCATGTGGTTTAATAACTACAAACCTCTTCCTATACTTAATTCTTGATAACAAATGTGTATTTCCTTCACATATGATTAAAATCTGGGATGTTCTATAATACAATATACATGTAAACAGTATACAACATGTGTATGCTTGAATACACATGTATATAAATTGATAAGTCACGGAACTTTTAGCTTTGAAATATAAAACAGGAACCACAATATGCATCTTGTACTATACCCTATCAAACAACCTAGACTTGAACCCTACACCAGCACACAAAATCCTCAAAAAAAGGGCATTCCTTTATTTTATGTACAAAGAACTCAACACCTTTTAATTGAGCACATCCTAATGTATATACTAAGTCTTCTCTTACAATGTCTTGTGAATTGATGGGTTGCCTTTTTTGATGCTTGTCTCTTGAGGGTAGCACAGTACAATATCCGATTCTTTCTTTGATTATTCCTATGTTTATTTCAACAAGAAATAGGGAAGAAATAGACAAATATAATAATATAAAAAAAAAGGAATGAAGAACAATTGTATGAGATCATGGAATGATTGAGATTAACTCACTTGGGTCCAAATAATAATATTGTAAAAGCACTGTAACGTCCTTAGTCTACCTTTTCACATCACTGGGCTCTTGGATATACATGTCAATATCAATATATCAATATTAATTAAGAACAACAATAATATATTTCATGGGGCCTCTATAAAATAATTTTGTACAGCTGTTAATATTAATAAATAAAAATATAATTCTGAAGCAGATAATTAAAGCACCAAAACTGGTCATACTTAAAAAGAAAAAGATAAAAAAGTAGAAAAACAGACATGACAATAAATAGCAAAAGGACAAAAATTCAATTCCACTATCACGACAAATGATTTTACGAGTTGTTCAACAACTCTTTTTTTTTTTTTAATGTCTTAATTGTGCACTCAACTCATGGTCTATTTGTGTGGGAAAGCGGGCTTTGTCAGGGTGTGTCTTGGCCTGGACCGAGAGTTTCGTCTCTCCCTGGGGGTGGCTGTTGTGGCTTCTTCTGATGATGTCCGTGATGTATTGCTCCTGTCTGTGCGCAAGTAGGGTGGCACCAGCTCCTGTGCTACATGGACTAGACGTGTGTGCATGACTTCACAGTCGATCTGCATCAGAGCCACATTATTGGGAGGGGGAGCCAGAGAGTCATTCATAGACTGGGGTGTTGGCATTAGCAGGGACATCCTGGGGCGGGCTGAGTCATTCCGTGCTGTTGCTGGGACGAGGAGGTGGTCAGGAGAGAAGGACACAACATAGTATGTATCATCACGCCTCTGGATAGCCTCAAGGAACGATGTTAGACGAGGGACAGTAGCCATGACTGAGGTGTCCTCTTCAGTGCTGTAAATAGAAAAACAAAATGCATGGTCAGACCTCGTTATTTGCAAAGAATCAGCAAAAGGAACACATTATCAAGCCAACATGATTAGCTCCAAAAGAAACGAACTTACCTAGTAGATGGCTCAACGTAATGAACATAGTGGTAAAGTGGTGCTGGTTTGTTGGAAGGTTGCTGGGGAGGGACTAAGGCATTCCAGACCTCACTGCCGACTTGCTTGCTGAGTTTCTGGCTTGGTTCTCCCGCGTTTTTGTGCTTGTTCAGCCTGTTCCTTCCTTCCCTTGTCTTGGGATGCGACAACAGGGGTCTCTGGTTGTTGTTGTTGTTCTTCTTCTTGTCCATCTTGTTCTCAAACCAGCCTCGTAATTCAGTCTCCAGCCTAAAATGACCGTACGTTATCAATGACAATTTTAATTTGAACATGGACAAAATTCAAAATTGCAAAAGTACAGTCTAAATCATACTGCCTTCCTCTTGAAACAGCACATAAGACAACCCTAAGGACTAAAAGGAAAATATGACCAAAAGAGTCCCCCTTGCTTACCTCAAACTTTCTGTTGCATTGATGTACATGGGACACATGGACGAGGTGTTGGTGTTCAAGTTCGGAATTGTGCCTTCCTCTGCCGAAGCCTGTTTTTCATCGGCCCAGAGGAGTGAGCGGTGCTTGAAGCCTGTGCCTAGAGATGAGGGTTCCACACCTTGCATCATTCTCTTGAGAGATGACAATCTTGATTCATTGCTTAGGAAAATTCCCCTGTTTGAGAAAGGTTTGTACTTAGAATTATATGATCACTATCTAGGTAAGAATTATTACAAAGGTATGTATTCTCTCACATTCACACATACACACGCACACGCACTCACTCACACACACACACACACACACACACACACACACACACACACACACACACACACACACACACACATACACAGTCACACACACTCACACTCACACTCTCTCTCAACATCCACACATCCATGTAGGAATCATATTCTTTTTAAAAGAAGAAACTACTATCTATACTTGAAAGAAAGAAATAAAAAAAAAATCTTTAAAAGAACAATGATAATTACAATAGAGAACCACACTTAAAAACAAATTAGACTTTGTCCAGAACTTACGTCAAAGGGCCTAGGTTCAGAGATAAGAGGAAAATTATGGCAAACAGCGCAGTGGTGGTTTTCCTGCTTGGGCTGCGACCCAATGCATGCCGCAACGATGCACACTCAGACTCCAGTGATGATACCTTTTGTTGCAAGCGGATATTGTCCTGCAACAAAAAATGGAACAGTGAACTACCATAACACACACTAAAAAAGGGCATAAATTTCCAACCATATACACAAAGACTACAAACAAATTTGTTTTTACAATTTGTATGTACCTCTTTCAATCTTTTATTTTCATTTTGTAGCTCGGTAATGTTTCCTTCAAGAGCTGTGACGTATTCTTTCTTCTTCTTACGAGACAGACTGGCGGATTCTCTGTTTTTTATCATTCTCTGTTGTCTTTTCAGTGCCTTCAGCTGTAAAAACAAATGATACACATGATACAATATA